CCAAGAACATGACCATGATGTTGACCATGGCCATGGCCACCACCACGGCCGGAATCACCAACATGACCCCAACGTTGGCCATGACCAAGAGCTTGACCATAAGGTTGACCATGGCCAAGAGCTTGACCATGACGTTGACCATGGCCATGGCCACCACCACGGTCAGAATCACCAACATGAGCCCAATGTTGGCCCTGACCAACAGCATGACCCTAATGTTGGCCATGGCCAAGAGCTTGACCATGACGTTGACCATGGCCACCATCACGACCGGAATCACAAACATGACCCCAATGTTGGCCATGACCAACAGCAGGACCCTAATGTTGGCCATGGCCAAGAGCATGACCATAACGTTGACCATGACCAAGAACATGACCATGACGTTGACCATGGCCAAGAGCTTGACCATAAGGTTGACCATGGCCAAGAACATGACCATGACGTTGACCATGACCATAACCACAACCGTGACTGTAATCACAAACATGACCCTAATGTTGGCCATGACTAAGAGCTTGACCATAAGGTTGACCATGGCCAAGAGCATGACCATAATGTTGACCATGACCATAACCGCAACCATGAATGCGACCATAATGTTGACCATGACACCATGACTAGGACCACAACATGACCATAACGTTGACCATGACCGTGACGGCTACCATGAACGCGACCATAAAGTTGACAATGACACCATAACCACAACCATAACGTGACCATAATGTTGACCACGACCACAACCATAACGTACCCATAACATTGACCATGACCATGACCGCTACCATAAACGTGACCATCACGTCGACCATGACCCCATGACCACAAGCATAACCGTAACGTGACCATAACATTGACCATGACCACTACCGCTACCATGAACGTGCCCATAACGTTGACCATGACTGGTACCATGAACGCGGCCATCATGTTGACCATGACACCATGACCACAACCATAACGCACCCGTAACGTTGACCATGACCATGACCGCAACCATAACGTGACCATAACGTCAACCATGACGCGATGGCTACCATGAACGTGCCCATAATGTTGACCATGACCATGACCGCTACCATGATTGCAACCATAACGTTGATCATGACCATGACCAGTACCATGAACACGGCCATAACGTTGACCATGACCATGACCGCTACCATGATTGCAACCATAACGTTGACCATGACTATGACCGCTAGCATAAACATGACCATAATGTTGACCATGACCGCAACCATGACCACAACCAAACCATCGCCCGTGACAACAACCCCAAACGCAACCCCCACCCCCCGCACACCCGTCCGCTTCCGGTTGTCCCCCCATTGACCCCGCCCACCTTGAGCTGGTTGAGCTTGAGCAGGTCGCTGTCGAGGAGCGCGGCGGAGCCCATGGCAACCATGAACGCGACCATCACGTTGACCATGACCCCATGACCACAACCATAACGTGACCATAACGTTGACCATGACACCATGACCGCAACCATAATGTGACCATAATGTTGACCACGACCACAACCATAACGTACCCATAACATTGACCATGACCATGACCGCTACCATAAACGTGACCATCACGTCGACCATGACCCCATGACCACAAGCATAACCGTAACGTGACCATAACATTGACCATGACCACTACCGCTACCATGAACGTGCCCATAACGTCGACCATGACCATGACTGCTACCATGAACGCGACCATAACGTTGACCATGACACCATGACCACAAGCACAACCATAACGCGCCCATAACGTTGACCGTGACCATGACCACAACCATAACGTGACCATAACGTCGACCATAACGTCAACCATGACGCGACGGCTACCATGAACATGACCATAACGTTGATCATGACCATGACCAGTACCATGAACACGACCATAACGTTGACCATGACCATGACC